TATCCTTAGTTATTTCTTGGTTACTCCAGATCTGATTCCTATATAAGCTTGTTTTAGTTCACAATAAACATGCAGTGGTACACAAGCCTCTGCATCTCCCAAGTCTTGATTTCTATCCATCGGGGTCCCCAAGCCCTTCAGGCTTGGACTGTGGTCACTGTACCATGACAGCTCACCACCAAGTGGAGGCAGGATCGGGGACTCTCAGGCTGTCCCTTGCGTTCTCAGGCCCTCTGCCAGAGGAAGGCCAGAACTTGGCACTCTCTCCCTACCTGATATTTCTAAGCAATGTGTAACAGAAACTAAGAGTGAAAATTCCATTCCAAGAAACCTGGGTGTATTCTAAACTAAAACCACATACAAAGGGAGTCATTCCTTACTTTGACACACCTGTGTGTAAGAATTATGGATCACTGACACTCTAATGAGATATAATTTCTCCAACACCAAATTCAGTTGAATTATGTAGGCTATATGGGGTTTTTTATTTGCTAATAGAAGACATGAAATCAGGGGTGGGGGGTAGTAGGATGAGGGTGGAGATGAGGGGAGGCCTGAATATAATAAAAATTCACTGTATTGAATTTTTGAATCAATAATTCAATTAATTGAAATTCTTGAATCAATAAAATTTCTCTTAAACTTAAAAATGAAAATAAAAAGACAATCTATACAATATGAGGAAATATGTGCAAGTCATAACTATTCGATAAGTGTCTAGCAGTTAAAAAATATAAAGAACAGGGCTGTCAAGAGATGGCTCAGTGGTTAAGAGCACCTGCTGCTCTTGCAGAGGACCTGGGTTCAGTTCCCAGCACCCACATGGAGGCTGTCTTTAACTACAGTTCCAGGGGATCTGATGCACTCCTCTGGCCTCCACTGGCATTGGATGCTTGTGGTGCATTTACATAAATGCAGGCAAAGTACTCATACATAAAAATACAAAATTTAAAAAGTATATAGAACTCATAATTCAACAACAATACAATAGGCAAAGAAAAATGGGTGAAGAATGTGAGCATTTTGCCAAAGAAGTTGTGTGACTGGCTACTAAGCATATGAAAACAGACTAAACATCATTTGGCTGCATCACTGAAAACCTAATCAAACCACAGTGAGACCATAATCTGCTAGGGTGGGTGAAATAAAGATGAACAGTGAGCGATCTGATAGGGCCATGGGCAAACTGGAGCTCTTGTGCACTGTTGGTGGGAATGTCAAATCACGCAGCTGCTATGGAAAACAGTATGGAAGATGCTATAAAATTAAAAATAGGATTGCCACTGGGTCAAGCAATTCCACTTCTAGGTATTCCAAAGAACTGAAAGCCAGGACTCTGAAACATCTGTGCACCAATGTTACAGAAACACTCAAAACAGTGAGAGGAAGCAACATAAGCACCAATCTACTACAGCTGAATGGATAAAAATGCCATGTGTATATACATATATACACCTATTCACAATGGAATGTTGCTCAGATTTAAAAGTTCTGGCACATGATGCAACATGAATATATCTTGAGTATACTATGCTACATGAAACAAGTCAGTAATATAAGCACAAGTCTTCATGATTCCATTTAATGAGGTCCCTGGTGCAGTCAAATTCATAAACAAAGTAGAATGGCCGGAGACTGGGAAAATGGAGTATTTAAATGAGGACAAAGTTTCAGTTTTGCAAGATGAAGTGTTCTGTGAAGGGATAATGGTGATGGTTGCTCAACTGCACACTTAAAAATGGCTAAAATGGGGGCTGAGGTAAAATGCTTGCTATGCAAGCATGAGGATTTGAGTCTGACTCCCCAGCACCCACATTAAAAGCAAGGTGTGGCAGCACATGCCTGTAATCCCAGCACTGAGAGGCAGAGACAGGAGGACCCTGGTAGCTCACTAGCTACCCAGACTAGCAAATCTATGAGCTCCATGTTCAATGGGAGACCAGGACTCAAAAAAACAAGACAGAAGGCTTGGCGTGGTGATGCATATCTTTAATCCCAACACAGGGGAAGCAGAGGTAGGCTTTGAGTTCAAGGTCAGCCTGGTTTACATAGCAAGTTCCAGGCCAGCTAGACCCTGTCTCAAAAAACAATTCTAACAATAGTAAGGAGAGGGCTAGAGGAAGACATCCAACATTGACCTCTGGTGCACACACACCTGCACCACACACAAAATGGCTAAAATGGTGTGTGGTTGTGGTGCCTGCTTGTAATCCTATCACTAAAGAAGTGAAGACAAGAGTACAATTTGAGGCCGGCCTAGGCTACATAGCAAGACTCTGTTTCAAAATAAAAATGAGTGTATTGGGGTTCCTTACCGTGGTTAGAAGAACACAGCCTAGCACCTAGAATTTAAATGTTCAGAACATGCTAGCTACAAATTATCTTTATTGAATACCAGTTTTAAGACACATGGAAAAAAGACAAGAATGAAAATGCGGGGCATGGGATTGAGCCATCTCTCCAGCCTCAGAACTGCAAATTTTTCAAAGATACACTCAGGAGCATATTGAAAGTGTTTTCAGTTTATTCCTAGTTCACTGAGGTTGAGTTTTTGTTTTTAAAATCAGGATGTGTGTTAAATGCTTTTCCTTTACCCATTGAGGTTGGGTTTTTTTTGGTCTTTTTGAGACAGGGTCTCCCTGTAGCCCCAGCTGTCCTGGATTCACCATGGAGACCAGGCTGGCCTCGAACTCACAGAAATCCGCCTGCCTCTGTCTCCCAAGTGCTGGGATTAAAGGCATGTACCACCATACCCAGTGTATTATTTTTGTTCTATGTGTATGAGTGTTATGCCTGCATGTAAGTAAGTGCACCCGTGTCATGCAATGCAGGCAGCAGAGGACAGAAGAGGCTATCAGATCCCTTGGAACTGGAGTTATGGACAGTTGTTAGCTGCCTGTTAGGTGCTGGGATTTGAACCCAGAACTTCTATAAGAACAGCCAGTGTTCTTAACCACTAAGCCATCTCTCCAGGCCCCAGTTTTCAGTTTTTTATTTGTTTGAGATGGTCTCACTGTGTAGCTGACTGGCCTGAAACCTGCTATGTAGATCAGGGTGCTATAAAACTCAGATTCACTTGCCTGGTGGTGCACGCATTTAATTCCAGCACTTGGGAGGCAGAGACAAGCGGATCTCTGTGAGTTCAAGGCCAGCCTGGTCTACACCGTGACTTCTAGGACAGCTGGGGCTACAGGGAGACCCTGTCTCAAAAAGACCAAAAAAAAAAAAAAAAAGTGTATTGTGCTAATATTGTAGGGACTGCTCTGTAAGTGTTCATTAATTAACATTAGTTGACAGTTATTCAAGTCTGCTATAGCCTTTGTGATCTGGGAACTTATCATTTATTAAGAAAAGAATACTCTTGGGGGCTGGAGAGATGGCTCAGTGGTTAAGAGCACTGACTGCTCCTGCAGAGGACCAGGGTTTGATTTCTAGCACCCACATGGTAGCTAACAACAATCTGTAACTCCAGCCCTGGGGGAATCCAACACCTTCTTCTGTCCTGCAAGGGCACTGCATGACATGGGTGTGCTTACACACATGCAGGCAATACACTCATACACCTTAAAATAAAAATAATATTTTTTTTTAAAAAAAGAAAGAACACTCTCTAACTACCTCAACCTCCAATTGTCTGTCCCTCTTTCGAGTTTATTAGCTTTTGATTAACACATTTTAGAACTTTGGTATTAAGCTTGTGTTTATAGTTTTGTTCTTTTGATGAAGTCACCCCTTCATTAATTCACTATTCTTCGACAATATCTTTTATTATAAAATCTACTACAGGAGAATATGTTAGGCCCATAGATTCAGTTTCAGATATGTATATGTTCATACATACGGTGAGATGCCTATGAAACATGTAGGAGTTCAGGAGAGAAGACTATGAAGACGCATCTGGGTTAAGATGGTATTGTAAGCCGGGTATGGTGGCGCATGCCTTTAGTCCCAGCACTCAGGAGGCAGAGGCAGGCAGATCTCAGTGAGTTCAAGGCCACCCTGGTCTATATAGCAACTGCCAGGCCAGCTGGGGCTACAGGAAGACCCTATCAAAAAGATCAAGAGAAAAAAGGATGGTGTTGTGCGGCAACTACTGCAATGCCATAAGGTGATTTGTACTTCCGTACTATTTGTTTAGGCAGACTCTGGTTTTTAATTACATGATATAGAAACATCCACTTGTCCTAGTTCATGGTGGTAGGAGTTTGCTTTAAAGTCTATCATGCATTCCAGTGAATTATTCATGAAGCTTCTCATGATGGCTATTTTAGGTTTCGACAATGTTTAGCCATGGGTTCCCTACCTTCTCTCTCTCTTTCTGAAATCTGATGTCACCAGGGAATGCCTTCAGCTCCATTCCAGTAAAGAGTTACCCACACACTATAAGCCATATTTCCTCCTCTCTGCCTCTTCTAAGTATTCTTGTAGAAAAGTGCTTTTCTATGCCCCAAGAAAATACCCTTTGACCTGAATGTAGCTCCCACACTTCTGCATAAACCTGAGTTTACACCGATGTGTAGCTTCCACTCTGCCATTCCCAAGAAACTGCAGCTCACCGAAACCACCTCCCTGTGGCTAAAGTCATCTTTCATTTCTCTACTTGACTTTTAAGATACCAAGTGGTAGTCTCAAAAAGGTACCTTTAACAACACGGAACTCTGGGACGCTTAAGATGTGGATCTGCGCTTCAGGATCCACTTTTTAGTCCAAGAACACAACTCTATACAGGGGGCTGCACACTCACGTGGTCCCAGGGACCGAGCAGGGATGGAGACAGGCGAGGGTAGCAAGACTGTCTCACCCAAAGGAGGCAGCTCGAAATGGTTCGGCCACTCGGGAATCTGGGGCTAACTCTTCCAGACGACTTGCTTCTTAAACTTATGGTTCTCAGTTTTCAATGGCAGCAACTAGCTCATCCTCCCCTAGCACTGTGTGGGCCATCAGGGGCCGGTCTTCTACCCCCCCGCCCCCCCCCCCCAGGGATCCAGGCCTCGCTTTACCTTGAGCCGTCGGGGGCTAGCCGCGGGCTCCGGGACAAGCGGGCAGCGCGCGCCCAACGTCCCGCGATGACCCCCGTCACCTAGGCGGGACAAAAGCGGCCGATTCCGGGCCGGCGGGAGCTCGTGTGGCCGGGGCGGGTCACGGCAACCCCCGGTTCGCGCCTCCACGGAACTCGCGGGCCCGGACTCCGCCCCCTTTGCGCCTGCGGGCCCAGGACCGGGCGGAAGTGACTCCACGCGCCCTTCCCCGCTCGCCGAGCTGGGGCGGGGCCGTGGCGCCGCGACGCAACGTGCTCTCGTGTTGATGTCACGGCGCGGACGGAAGATGGCGGGGTTGTACGCCGGCAGCTGCTGATCCTGCAGCACAGAGCCCGAGCGGAGCCCGGGTCCTGCTCCCGCCACCTCGGAGCGGCTGCCGCCATGTCACTGCTGCAGTCTGCACTCGACTTCCTGGCCGGCCCTGGCTCCTTGGGCGGAGCTGCCAGCCGCGACCAGAGCGACTTCGTGGGGCAGACGGTGGAGCTGGGCGAGCTGCGTCTGCGGGTGCGGCGGGTCCTGGCGGAGGGTAAGGCGCGGGGCGTCGCCAGGCCGCGGGGGGCTGGGCGGGAGGGTCCCTGCCGGGGTGGTGAGTCAGCTCAGCGTCGGGGAGAATCACTGCCTGGGTGGTCGCGCGGGACAGGACAGGAGCTCCTCCGAGGTCTGAGTTAAGTCAGGGCCGGGGAGGGTCACCACTGGGGTATGGATCAGATCAAGGCTGGGGAGCCTCACCCCTGGGCGGGGGACATAGGGTCCGCGGGAATGGGCACCGTGGGGTGTGGATCAGGTCAGCGCTGGGGAGGTCACTGCTGGGGTGTGAGTCAGGTCGGGGTGGGGCCTGGCCAGGAAGGGTGACCACAGGAAGGCCTGTGGGTCCGGGCCTCTGGAGGTGACTGCTCAGGAGGGCTGGGACTGCGCTGAACACTTCCTTACTGGAGGGTAGAGTTAGTTAGTCCAAGGGTCAGGCTAGCAAGAGTAGTTATGCTTTCAGGATGGCAGTGCGCGTGCTGCTGAGATCTGGGGAGCTCTGCAGTCCCGGGCAACCCCTCCCCTGCCTGGTGAGGTAGAGGGTACACCAATGCAGGGTCCTTTAGTCTCTTTTTTAGTCTCTCCCTCTCCTTTATTTATTTATTTATTTATTTTGGTCTTTTTGAGTCAGCGTCTCCCTGTAGCTCCAGCTGGCCTTGAACTCACAGAGATCCGCCTACCTCTGCCTCTACCTCCTGAGTGCTGGGAATGAAGGTGTGCGATGGCCGGCCCTCATTTTCAGTTCTTACGGTCTTACTGTTTGCCTCACCTCTGGATATCTTTTTGTAAATGACCTCTTAAAAGTTCCAGTGTCTTGGCCTCCCAGCACTGGGGAGGCAGAGGCAGGCGGATCTCTGTGAGTTCGAGGCCACCCTGGTCTACATAGTGAGTTCCAGGCCAGCTGGGGCTACAGGGAGACCTTGTCTCAAAAAGACCCCCCCCCCAAAAAAAAATACCGGTGTCTTGAAGCCAGTCTGCTGTCAGTTTAGTTTGTAACTTCTGGAATGTCCTCTCTGTCCCTCACACAAGATCTGCAGTAAACGTGAAGTTCTGTTTTCCGTTTTCCTTTGTGCGTCAGTACCTAGGGATTTGTTAGGTCTAACTAGCTGTCAAGTTCACCTGCTAAATACAGTTGTGTTCTGCCAGATTGGCTCAAGGAGACGAGGGACACCTGACCTGGGTCTGCAATAGTTCTCAGTACCAGAAAGTCCTAAGATGGCTCCTGTGTGCTCTGTGGGGTCAGGGAACTTTTTAAACATTTTTTATTCTGGAAGGACTGAGGGAGTGTTTTGGTTGTACCTTTTTTATACATTTTCTCCACTGTGTTTATTTAAATATTTTATATATATTATTTTGTGTGTGTGAGTATATTGCCTACATGTATGTAAATGTACCTATGTCATGTAATGCCTGTGGAGTTCAGAAGATGGCATCAGATTCCCCGGGACTGGAGTTATAGCCGGTTGTTAGCTGTCTTGTGGGTGCTGGGAATCAAACCTGGGGTCCTCTGCAAGAGCAGCCAATGGTCCTAACCGCTGATCTATCTCTCCAGCCTTGTCTCCACTGTGTTTATAAGCAGATTTGAAGATGATTTGGTGAGAAAAACCTCTGACACTTCTCTCTTTAGAGGTGGGGTTAGTACCTCCAGTAATATTTTGATATGTGATAATCCCTCACATCTTTTGTGAGTGATTGTGAGTGTTGTGGGATAATGACAGTGATTACCCCAGATCTTTATTCTAACGATACCAGGCTGTTATCTTCATTCTTCAAGAAATTCAAGCCTGATTTAGTGGCACACACCTATAATCCCAGCTACTTGGGAGACTGAGGCAGGAAAATTCCAAGTTCAAGATAGAATTCAAGGCCAACCTTAGTAAAATGCTAACTCAAAATAAAAAGTAAAAAGAGGGTTGGGGTGGTACAGTGCTTGCCTGATATGCATGAGGCTCTGGGTTCAATCTACAGAACAAGGGAGGGAAGGGATGGAGGAAGAGATGAGACAGGAGACCTGGTTTCTTCTCTTGTGCAATGTAAAGTGAAGCACATGTTCAAATGGTGGAAGGAAGAGGCAGCTCAGGGTGGGACAGTACAGTTAACAACATGGAGAATACTAGGGTGGCTGCCTGTGTACCCAGGCGGTCAGGAGGCCATCTCTGGTGGGGGAGGTGATACTGATTGGCAGGAGAGGGAGGTTTATGTAAAGCAGGAAGTTTACCAGGCCACACAGCACCCAGGATGAAGAACTAGGAAGTATGAGCAGCCACTGTCACTGTGCAGAGAACTCCCTCTTGAGATCCTGGCCCAGCCAGGAGTAAGAGTAACCCATGCATTTGTGAACTGTGGATTTTTTCCTTTTAGACTTAATGTGTTGTTTGAAGTTTCTTTCTGAACTGAAACGGTAAGAAAAATGTAATATTTTTAAATAAATATTTTTATTTTATGTGTATGAGTGTATTGCCTGCATGTATGTGAGTGCACCCATGTCGTGCAATGCTGTGGAGGTCAGAAGAGGGCTTCAGATTCCCCTGGAACTGGAGTTAAGGATGGTTCATAGCCACCACTTGGGTGCTGGGAATCGAACCCGGGCCCTCTGCAAGAACAGTTAATGCTCTTAACCACTTAGCCAACTCTCCAGTCCCACATTTTCATACAGTATAATTTGATGGTATTTAAATCCCCTCCCCTATCCGCTCCTCCCCTTAATGCCACCCCCATCAATTCGTTGTATTCTATTTTATATATATGATCTATAGACTCTATGTGGCCTTGCCCTGCAGCTGTTTAAAAAAAAAAAACAGAAACACATACAAACACACAAAAAAGTTGTCATTAGTAACAATTTTCTAAATTTTTAGAAAGTATTATACGTTCTTGGGAATTCATTCTTATAGAAAGTAATAAAAGTAGGCAGGGCAGAATTATTTTCTCTTTTTCATTCATTTATTAGCTATCTAATCAAATACCTCCTGTGCTCAGGCCCTGACAAAGATTTCTGAATACAGTTATAAAAACTGAAGCTCTGGAGCTGCAGAGACAGCTCGGCAGTTAAGAGCACTGACTACTCTTGCAGAGGACATGGGTTCGATTCCCAGCACCCACATGGTGGCTACAAACCGCCCTTAACTCCAGTTCCAGGGGACTCCAAAGCCCTCTTCTGACTTCCACGGCATTGCATGACACAGGTGCACTCACATACATGCAGGCAATACACTCGTATATATAAAATAAAAATAATAAAATATTTTTTAAAAAAATCAAAAAAATTTTTAAAAAGAAAGATGATTCTGGGTATGATCTTATTATGGGATATTCCCAGAGGGATTGAGAAACCATTCTATAGTCAAATACATTGATGTTTCTATTATTAGATGTATTCATTTAATATTAATATTCTCATTGTGGATTAAAGTCTGTAAATTGGCCATATCAGTTTATGTCAGGTTTTGTCACAGAGGATTTAACGATAGATCAAGTTTTGCAGTCAAATGTTTTTTGTAGTTTTTAAAATTTGGTCCTGGGCTTTGTAATGGGTTATTGGACAGAATCAATGAAGCTGAATAGCTTTCTGCCTGTGCTGGATAGCTTTAGTGTCAACTTGACACACCTGGGTTGAGGGAGCCTCAGTTGGGGAATTGCCTCTATTGGACTTGCCTGTGGCTATGTCTGAGGGGCATCTTCTTGATGAGTGATGTGGGAGGGCCCAGCCCACTGTGGGACTGTGTTGCATAAGAAAGCAGGCTGAGCAGGGGCCAGGGGAGCAAGCCAGTGAGCAGCATTCCTCCATGGCTTGTGCTCCAGTTCCTGCTTCCAGGTTCCTGCCCTGAGTTCCTACCTTGGGCTTCCGGATGCACTGTGACCCGGATGCACTGTGACCCGGGAGATGTAAGACAAATTAAACCCTTTCCTCCCTAAGTTGGTAGTAGTCAGAGTGTTTTGTCACAGCACTGGAGAAACAAACTAGGATACTACCCTTTTCAGAATTTGTTCTAAGTCTTCATTATTTTTATTTAATTTTGTTTGAGACTGGGTCTCCCTGTAGCCCCAGTTGGCCTGGAATTCACTGTGTAGACCAGTTTGGCCTGGATGTGAGGTCAACCTGCCTCTGCCTCTCTAGTGCTAGGATTAAAGATGTGTGCCACCATGCCCAGCCTCTTCATTTAAAAAAATTTTTTTTAATTTATTTTATGTGTATGAGTATCTTGCCTGCATATATGTAAGTGTACCCATGTTGTGCAATGTCCACAGAGACCAGAAGAGAGTGTCAGATCCCCTGGAACTGGAGTTATAGATGGTTGTTAGTTGCCATGTGGATGCTGGGCATGGAACCTAAATCCTCTGGAAGGTCAACCAGTGTTCATAACCCCTGAGCCATCTCTCCAGCCCCCTCTTCATTGTTTTTTAAAAGCAGCTTATTGGGAGTGTAAATAGTGTTAGAGATGCCAAGCACAAAGGGTTTTTAGATTACCCTGTGTGTTCTTGTTTTGGCTCCTGCTCACTGCTGCTTCGAAGATGGGTCACTGCTGAGGCCTTCTGAAGCTGTCTGTGGACTTAGAGCTAGGGAGGTCCATTGAAGTAGAAAATGATAACAGTGCTCCAGAACCATTATGGAGTATAAGTGCCCCTAAGTCCATGTGTTGAGTCAGATGTTATATGCAGTTTCAGTCAGTCCTTGTGTGCCAACAGGATCTGTGGTTCCTGTTCCTGAGTCTCTGCTCTCCTGAATTTGTGGGTTTCTTTATATTTTCTGTAAAAAAAATCCTTCATCCAATGGTGATTTGCAAAACTAATTAGTGGCGTGTCTTTTTTATTCTCTCTCCTAAGTAAAAGAATAGAAATTCTTTATTTGATGTGGTTCTTTTTTAAAAAATGGATCATGCTTTTGTGCTTATTGCTTATATTTAAATTTATAAAGGGATGTGTAGAAATAGTTGATTTTTGTATCTCGTTTTTATATTCTCCTCTCTACCTAAATTAATTTATTACAGTGGTTTCTTTTTTTAACATTTATTTATTGGTTGGGGGAGGCATATAATGACATACATATGGAAGTCAGAGGTGAACTTGTGGCCCTCTGTCCTCTCCTTCGACAATGTAGGTTCAGGGATTGAACTCAGGTTGTTAGACTTGGTGGCAAGCTCCTTTATCTGCTGAACCAGCTCACCAGTCTTCATCTTTTCTCTCATTTTTCTTCCCTTCTCTCTCCCTTTTTCCTTTTTTGAGATTTCACTAGTCTTCTGCACAGAAGATCGTATTAATCTACAGATTAAAAACATCTTTTATGATATGGATGTCTTTCATTTTCTTTTTCTTGTCTGATTGCATTGGCTGGAGGCTCTGGTACAATACTGAGTGTCAGTGGTTTGAGCACTTGGTTGTTGGCACGTTTAAATTTCATGATGGGATTTTTCTATTTAAAGGAAGTTTTAGAAATGAAGCAAATTAAACCAAAATTATAGAGTTTAATTGATTTTCAGATGTTAAACCATGGTCATGGTGTATTAGCCCTGTTTATTGCTGGGTTTGATTAGCTGATACTTTATTTATTGTTTTATAGTTGAAAACTATTTTTTTTATTTTTTATTTTTGTCTTTTTGAAGCAGAGTCTCCCTGTAGCCCCAGCTGTCCTGGAACTCACTACATAGACCAGGCTGGCCTTGAACTCACAGAGATCCGCCTGCCTCTGCCTCCCAAGTGCTGGGACTACAGGCATGTGCCACCACGCCAGGCTTATTTTTATTATTTTGTGTGTCTATTGCCTGCATGTTTGTGAGTGTACCCGTGTCGTGCAATGCCACAGAGGTCAGAGGTCAGAAGACCTCCAGATTCCCCTGGAACTGGAGTTAAAGACAGTTCGTAGCTGCCATGTGGGTGCTGGGAATCGAACCTGGGTCCTCTGCAAGAGCAGTCAGTGCTCTTAACCACTAAGCCATCTCTCCAGCCCCAGTTGAAAACTTCTTAAGAGCTGGGGTTGATGTTGTACTCACAGCAGCAGGGAGGCTGAGGTAGAGAATGAAATTCAGGGCAAGCCTGATGTCCTGTCACAAAAAGCCAAAAAACCAAAACTTTAGAGTTCTTCGGTCCATCTTTATGAGTGATACTGTTCTGTTCCCCCCCCTCCTTTTTTTTTTTTTTTTTTTTGAGACAGGGTCTGCCTGTAGCCTCAGCTGGCCTGGAACTTGGTGTAGAGACAGGCTGAATCCTCACAGAGATCCACCGGCCTCTGCCTCCCAAGTGCTGGAATTAAAGGCATGCGCCACCACGCCTGGCCTGTTCTTTTTTCTTTCAATGTTAGGGCCGCACTGTCTACTTTCCTCCAGGTGTTGGCAATTTGTTGTATTTGCATTAGTATTCCTTGGTGTTTGATAACCTACATAGAATTAGTCAGTTTTACTTGTTTTCAGAGGACTTGTTTTGGTTTTGCAGATTTCCTGCTTCTTAATCACTTTCCCTTCCTGACTGAACAGAACATATAAATTGGGCTGCAGTTTTGTTGGGAGCAAATTACTGTCCATGGCCAAAGTTTGGTTTGTATTGTTAGTAAAGGTATTTCCAAGTTGTAAGTCATAGCACTGACTGAAAAATATTTTTCATTTTTAGGAGGGTTTGCATTTGTGTATGAAGCTCAAGATCTGGGAAGTGGCAGAGAGTATGCATTAAAGGTAATAAAGAATGACATGCTGTTTTATGTGGATTTTGGTTTATTGTAAAGACATTTTGGGCTGGTTTTGGGATGGATCTCTGTCATTCCCTGTATGAGTTTTAGTTTGTTGGTCCTTGTCTCCTCCATGTTCTTAGGGCTCACCCTAATGCCCATGACTGTAGCTTGGGTTGAGAACTCCCTTGGGAGCTGCCTATCCCACCTGGGGAGCTTCTCGGCTTTGGAAGGAAAAGTGAGCATGGCCCTCTCTGGGTTTCAACCACTCTGCTCCACCAGGAATATGAAGAGTTCAGAAGCCAGTTATGGAATTTATATTCATAGCATGTCTGTAAATAGGGTCACAGTAATGTGGTGCAAGGGGTCTCTAGACCTTGATATCTAGTTAGGCAGTTTTGGTTTTGTCCTGAGACATAGCAGTACACCCAGCCCTGTGTCTTGCTGAACAACCAGGTTGGTCCTGTCTTGGTGGGGGTTGGAGGGCATAGCTTAGTGGGTCCTTGGGCCAGGACTGCTTTTGACAGTCTGCATTGTATGTTCATACTTGCTGAGCATATCTTTTATCTCCTCGTCTGTCTTGTTTTACTCTGGCTTATTTTTACTTTTCCTTGGGTCTTTGGATCATAAAGGTCACTCAGGGTCTCTTAAGTTTCTGTCAGGTCAGATGTTCAAATGCAGGTAAATGGTCTGCTGTGCTCCCTGAGACTCAGTGCCCCTTAGACAAAGTGCCTGTATTTTCCAGGGTGTTTGAGATAAGGCGATGTGTTAAGCAGAAGATAAATAGACTTCAATCTTCTTGTGTGCTATTCCCTGACAGAGGTTACTGTCCAATGAAGAAGAAAAGAACAGAGCCATCATTCAGGAAGTTTGCTTCTTGGTATCCTTTTCCTGGGATTGAGAGTTATCGCCATCTTTTAGGGAGGCACTGGCTTGCATCAGGCTTGACACCGCTGTCAGGAGGCTCTGTAACATTCCATTTGATGTGTTAAAATCAGCCTTTTGCTTTTGTCAGACTTCCTATAGACCATTTCTAGTGAAAAGGAGTTTTCCTCGTTCTGCATTCCGAAGGTTAAAGTGAAAGGTTCCAAGGTGTTGGGAAGGAGGTTCCTGATCCTGTCCTACCCTTGAAGTCTGCATGCCAAGCAGATGGGAGAGTTGTCAAAAAGAGAACCCCTTCTTTGCTCCTCTGATGACCTGGGCGAGGGCTGTGTGCATGGCCACTGTACCAGTGGGCCTCAGTGTGACTGCTTAACAGAAGCTCTGCTTCCCCTGTGCAGATGGCAGATGACAGGACTTTTCTCGCCTTTTCTCTTTTACCATATGGTAAGGCCCAGCTTTTACTGCTGGTAGAGTTTGCTTTCCCTTTCTGTCTAGCCCTGTCCTCTCTGATAGCCCACTGGCTGTGTGAGCTTAGAGTAATATGGACACAGTCACTCCTAAGAGCCTCCCTGCTGTGGAGCCCCGAAGGCCTCTGCCTGCCTCTCTAGCCTGCGCATGTCTGCCATCTCCACTAGTTTCCTGCTACAGTCTCCACCACCTCATTGTCCCTGCTTGTCCTTCTGTTGTCATTCTGTTCAGATGCTCAGATGTGCTAAGATGTAAGGCAATTCAGTTACTGTGACTTTGGTCTCTTAATGCTGTGAATATTTAAGTGCACAGAGTTGTGGATATGTTTATTCATATTCTCCTTTAACAAGACATGCAGAAAAAACTTTCCGGCCACCCCAATATTGTCCAGTTCTGCTCTGCAGCATCCATAGGAAAAGAGGAATCGGACACTGGGCAGGCTGAGTTCCTACTGCTCACAGAACTCTGTAAAGGTAAAGTGCCTTGAACACCACGTGCTCTATGACATGTTTGACCAGTCATTAAATATTCCCAGGATCTTCTGAAAATATATTGGTTTTAACTAAAAGATTCAGCCAGCTGTCCACTGGTCTTTGTGTTGTCTGGAATGGGCTTATGTGAGTTCTTTATGGCCTGCATGTTCTATTTTCTTTCATTCTTTTTTTTTTAATTTTATTTTATGAGACAGTGTTCTCACTGTGTAACCCTGCCTGGCCTGGAGCTCACTGTGTAGACCAGGCTAACCTCAGATTCATAGAGATCTGTCTACCTCTGCCTCCTGAGTGCCGGCATTAGAGGTGTGTACCACCATGCCTGACCTTGGGCTATAGGTTCCAAAAGAGCAGGGTCTCATCATGTCTTTCTCCTGAAGCAGATTGAATGGCATGCTATAGAACCTCAGTGTCCTCTTGTGTGAACTGGACTGGAAGGGGCAACACAGGCATGTATTCCTGGCTGTGTGGTATATACTTAAGAAGTGTAAGTAGTGCTTTGTTAGGAGAGAAACAGGGACCCTTTATGGGAATGTGGCCTCATCAAGGTCAGTCTCAAGAAGGTAGCATGAATGCTTCTTGGTTCATTGACAGGACAGGGAGAGGCCAGTGGATGGGAGGCACCTTAAGGAGACCTGTGGGGCAAAGTCATTGTACGACTGTGGGTAATATTGAAGGCAAGTCTCCACTTTGTTAGGTATGCTATTGTACTCCTGTAGTCCCAACACTGGGGAGCTGAGTCCCATACTCTGGCTGTGAAGTGGGGATGGCCACTCCAAAGTAGCAGACTTCTCCACTACAGTGCTCTGCTGTGGAGTGTCTGCCAAATGTTGTGTCCTGCCCAGTGTGGTCTTTGGATGCTCGTACTGAAGGAGCACTTCCTTGAGGGACATGGCCATGGTACAGATAGCTGCTATGTGTCCACCCGAGTAGAGAGTGTGGGGAGAGAAGAGGCAAAGGAATAGCAGGGGAGACTGAGGCAGGGAGCCCATGGAAGGAATCCCAGCCATGTGAGAGCTGCTGGCCATAAGCCATTCCTTCCTTGGAGGTCATTAGAAAAGCTGTTGCTATGGCTAGAGTGGGTACAGACCAATAGCAGACAGATGAGGACAGAGGATAGGGCTGGGGGGCAGTGAGTAGATAGCTTGGGAAGAGGAACAAAAATGGCATCTCTACCTGGCAGAGAAAAGTGTACAGTGAGTGTTTGGAAGAGACAACCGTAGCAAGCCAGTTGGGACCCTGTGCTAAGAAGAGGAGAGCAGGGGTCTGTGCAGGTCACATGTGAGCTCTTAGTCGGCAGGGGCAGAATGTGGAGTGCAGACTGTTTCTACATGACTGGAAACCCTGGGCTGCTGGCCTCCTTGGTATAGGGCATCTTTCTCCAGCTGCCCCTGTCTCTGTCCTCACTCATGTCTGCAGGTTCCACCCAGCCCCTGCATTACCCGTGGCCTGACCCACTGTGGTCCTTGCAGCACTTATTGCCATGATTATCCTGCTGTACCTGGAGGGGAGGAGGTTGTGGAGTCAGGAGCTGCCTGAGCTGAGGACATGTTGTCAGGGCAGAGAAGTGGTCTACTTACTCCTCAGTAGATGTTGGTGCAGATGCTTTGTTTTCTCAGTGTTTCATTCTGAAGTGATTTTTTTTGTTGTTGTTGTTTTGTTTTGTTTTTTAAATTTTTATTGTATTTTGTGAGTGTTTTGTCTGCATGTACATGGTGGAGGCTAGAAAAAGAGCTGGATCCCTGGAACAGCTGGGGATGGTTGTGAGCCTCTATGTGAACCCAATGCTCTTACTTGCTGAGCCATCTCTCTAGTCCCTCATTCTGAAGTTTTGGGTTTTTTTTTTTTTTTTTTTTGTCTTTTTGAGACAGGGTCTCCCTGTAGCCCCAGCTGTCCTGGAACTCACTATGTAGACCAGGCTGGCCTTGAACTCACAGAGATCCACCTGCCTCTGCCTCCCAGGTGCTGGGACTACAGGCGTGTGCCACCACGCCTGGCTTTAATTTTTTTTTTTTTTTTTATGTGTGTGTGTATTGCCTGCATGTGCGTAAGGGCACCCATGTTGTGCAATGCCTGTGAAGGTCAGAAGAAGGTGTCAGATCCCCTGGAACTGGAGTTACTGATGGTTGTTAGCCGCCGTATGGGTGCTGAGAATTGAACACAGGTCCTCTGCAAGAGCAGTCAGTGCTCTTAACCACTGAGCCATTTCTCAAGCCCCATGAAATAGTATATTTAATGAAAACTTAAAAGTTTGCCAATTTGTAACATTTTCTCATAGTTGATTTATCTTCCTCCATGTTCTTGATGAAGATAAACTGCAGATACTAAGACCAGAAAATGTGTGTGGGCATTGGGTTTTTTAAAAATAATTGTTGTTAGTGGGCCTTTTTTGTTTTTTGTTTTTTCCCTATTTTGTTTTGAGGCAGAGTCTCAAGGCTGGCCTGGAACTTACATCAGTTCTCCTGCCTCAGCCTCCTGAGTGCTGGGCCTATAGGCCTGTGCTAGCACACTTCACTCAAGACCAGAAATTCCTGTTTGCAGGTATCACATGAGACCAGGGAGCTTTTCTCTTACAACTGCAGTCCTAGTTATACACCTGACTTGATATTGGGTGCAGTATATGGTGAAAGCATGATTAGCCATTTACAGTTGTCCCCAGGATGTCATCCTGATATTTTCCCCTATCTGCCAACAAAACCCTTCATGAGTTTCTAAGTTTCAGTCAGTTGTGAGGCCTCTTGAGTCACTGTTTCTAGTAACCTTTGATTTCTGGGTAGCTCTGGGCTCTCTCAGTGAAGCATAGTGTCACCGGGAACTGAGTCTAGGTACTGTGGGCCATCCCTTTACATGCTGGGAAGGTGCTAGCTCTGGTGCTGTGAACTACAGCGCAGACCTCTCAGAGTGCTGAGAGGTGCTGTCCTTGTACTGGGTGGTATAGGAGGCAGATGTGTCCAGCCTGCCACATTTTACCTTCATGGGTGCTTCTTGGCACTGCTACATTCAGTTACAAAGGAACACATGCTCATTTGAAAAGTAGAAGGGATACAAAGTTAAATAGATGACAATGGGGTTTTCCTCTGTTATTTTTCTTTTTAAAAAACTTAACAAAACTGTACCAAATATGCTAGTAGTGAGCCTCCCACCCCTCATTGCTAATGTGTGTGAGCTCCAGCAGATACCTGTTGTGGCTAATACCAGACCACATGCACCAACACTGCAGTACTCAACAGCCCATCTGATAACCAGGATCACCACAGGCAGTCGTGGCAGGGGCGTATATACAGTGGTGATGAGGGTGCTCTTATGACTTCCCTCCTTTGTCACCTGTGAGGTCAGAAAGTTTTTGCATGATACAAGTCTTGGTGGTTGGAAATCTTGCTTTTGAAAGATTGGGGCAGGATCTGTGAGAGAAGCAGGTCCCTGTCTGATGTTTTTTGAAGTGATGGAGGGGGGTGGTAGGAGTGAGCTCAGGTGCTGTCCTGTGCTGAGCAGTGTGGGAGGCAGAGGTCCAGCCCACTACATTTTCCTTTTTTTCCTTTCCGTGTGTATATATGTGTGGCTGTGTGTATGTGTATGCTTGCATGTGTACAGGTGAGGTGTGGGGGGCTTGAATTGACTTTAGGTGTCTTCCTTAATCACTCTCCACCTTATATACTGAGGCAGGGTCTCTCACTGCGCCTAAAATACAGCATTTCAGCTAGTCTGGCTAGCCAGCTTGCTCCGGATTCTGTTTCTTCTCCTGTATTACAGGCAGGCTGCGATACCCACTTTGCTTTTATTTGGGTTCTGAGGATCCTGACTCTGTTCATCACACTCAGGTGGCAAGCACTTTACCCACCAAGCCCCCATGTCTTTTTTTATTGATTGATTGACCTTTAATTAATTTTATTTTATGTGTTATTGAGTGCTTTATTTGCCTGCATGTAAGTGTACCTGTATGTGCAATGTACTTGGAGCCCAGAAGAGAGCATTGGCTCCACTGGAGTTACAGACTGTTAGCCACGGTGTGGGTGCTGGGAACTGAGCCTAGGTCCTCTGCAGGAGCAGTCAGTGCTTTTGACCACTGAACCATCTCTCCAGTGACCCCGCCCCTCCCGTTTCCTTTTTGGTGATCTAAAGTTATCACCATGAAGTGAATTAAAAAATTCATATGTTGTAGAGGTTGTTGCCCAGGGGCCATTTTCAGTTGAATGGCCTGGGAGGACACAGATGAGCAGCAGGGTGTTTACAGATGGACACTTCGCTGGCCAGGGCTTGCCTGGCGTGGGGCAGAACCTCTGAGAAGTAGGGTATTGTGGAGGATGACCCCCCCCCCCCGTGGAGGACGACATCCCCCCCATGACAGTAGGTGCAAGAGTCACAGGAAGAAGTTTACAGGTAATGGGCCATGGGTCTTTTCTTTTTTTTTCTTTTTTTTTTTTGTCTTTTTCTTTTTTTTAAGCAGGGACTCCCTGTAGCCCCAGCTGTCC